AAAATAAGAGCAATTCATCTCTCCTTCCAACCACAGTTAGCCACAGGTATCTTCTGCCAAATAATAATGTAGTTCACCCATGAAGGTATCTACCTATCTCTGCTTAGAAAAAAGGGAAAAAAACTTATCCCCAAAGGCCCTCCTATGTCTCCCCATCCTGCTGTGCAAGCAGCCAAACTCAAGTGAAGATATAAATCACTCGTGCAGGCCACTCTTCCTGTTCCCACCCGTGTCCTGGGGCCACCCAGGCCCTTCCTACAGTTTTTGTTTGTGCTTTATCTGAGACTTGTAGCCCTGGGCAGGGGCCTTTGCTCAATGCTCAAGACACAATAAAATATTAACTATGGTGAGTCAATAACACAGTGCAAGATGCCCAAGGAACTCCCAGAAGAGGCCCAAGGATCTAAATTGATACCCCAGGGTCATGACAGAAATACACTCAACAATTTTCTCTTCCTTAACCCAAGAAAAGTGCAGTGAAAGAACAAATTGTTACTCAGGAGATGTTCTGTGGGCAAGATGGCAGCAGAAAGTGATGCATCTGCAGACCTGGCCCGGGTCAGGCCTGAGGCAGAAATTGTGCCCAGGGGGAACTAAAAGAAGCTGATCTCAGCTCAACGGAAAGAGGTTCTAGGAGTTAACCTGCTCAGGACTCCTGCACTGCTGGAAGAGGAGGACCCAGGGAAGCTGGCGCAAACATCATGGCAGGCAATCTGGTAATACACACAGAATGCATTAGGAACAGACATCTTGCCATGCACGATGGCTCACACCTGTAATCCCAGCACTTTGGGAGACAGAAGTGGGAGGATCACCTGAGTCAGAAGTTCAAGGCCAGCCTCGCCAACATGGTGAAAACCCGTCTCCACTAAAAATTTAAAAATTTGCCAGGCATGGTGGTGCATGCGCCTGTAATCCTAGCTACTCAGGAGGCTGAGGCAGGAGAATCGCTTAAACCCTGGAGGTGGAGGTCGCAGTGAGCCGAGATCGCATGACTACACCCCAGCCTGGGTGACAAAGTGAGACTCTGTCTCAAAAAAAAAGAAACACACATCCCTTCCGTGTAGCCACTCCTCAGGATGTGCTCTGCAAGGGCGCTTTCCTCTCGTCTCCCTAGCCCTCTGCCCACCTGCACCTGTCATTCATGTTGCTATCTGCCTTCCCCCAGGTCCTGAAAAGCTGGGTGCAGGGAGACTGCCCCTCACACACTCGGTGAAGAATCCCCGACATCAAGCGTGTGTCTGGTACACGGCAGGCAACAAACATTTCAAATAAATAGACTTTAGGGACTGTGAAGTGTCCTGAAAAAAGTGGACGTGAATGGGTATTCACTATTAAACTATAATAGTTTAAACGCTTTTAAACTATTAAAAAATCAGGGCCAATTAAGTATCCAATAAAGGATTGGATGAGTAAATTGAGCTACAGCCACAGAGTTGAACGCTGTGTGGCCATTAAGAATGTGGTATGGCTGTGGTTACAAAGGGCATGGATTCAGGAACACAGCAGAAATGTGGGCAACTCCCCACCCTGACAACTCCCCAGAAGCCAACCTAGCAGGGAGAAAAAAAATACTCATATCAAAAGCTCCAAATCTGCAAGAAATGTGAAAAAGAGGATCCTACTCCCTCACCCACCATGTCTCGTCTAGCGAGATGCCAGTCCTCCTTGCCCTGTTCCCGTAACATAGGTTAAAGTCACACTACGTTAGTGCCAATATAACATCTGGGATAACAATGCCCAAGCATGAGCAAGACGAGGAGAAACAGCACTGCAAACAAGCAAACACTCGACTGCAAAAGAAAATGAACAGATGAGAATAAAAGGTTCCAAAGAAGAGAGTCTATGCAAGACGAGAATGGAACACTCAAGGAAGAAAAGAAAATTCTCACGAGTGCTTCATGCTACCAAACAACTGAAGAACACGGGTTCAATAAAACAAGCACTCACAGATGAGCTAATGGATAACAGGTTAAAAGGATGTTGGGAACCTAACAAAACGAAATGAGGATCAAAACAACTTGACCACAGGCCAGGCGCGGTGGCTCACGCCTGTAATTCCAGCACTTTGGGAGGCCGAGGCAGGCGGATCACAAGGTCAGGAGATCCAGACCATCCTGGCTAACATAGTGAAATCCCGTCTCTAGCAAAAATACAAAAAAAATCAGCTGGGCGTGGTGGCACATGCTTGTAATCCCAGCTACTTGGGAGGCTGAGGCAGGAGAATCACTTGAACCCAGGAGGGGGAGGTTGCAGTGAGCTGAGATCACAGCACTGCACTCTAGCCTGGGCAACAAGAGTGAGACTCTGTCTCCAAAAAAAAAAAAAAAAGATTCCAGATTGCGAAATCCATACCTGAGTAAAAGCATTAAATCAATGTATAAGAACTGAGCTAAACAAAGGAAGTTTACATGACAGAATGGAAAGTACAATGTAAAACTAATAATAAAACTTTTTTAAATGAGAGATTGGGAAAGCAGGGAGGGTAAGAAGAATGCTGGCACCCTTGACTCAGTGGGTGGGGAGCCAGTGAACACTATCAGACTTAAAACATTGTTTTTCAAAAGCCACAATTCTAACCTTTTAATGCTTTCAAAAATCTCTTCCCTTAACCTTACTTGAACCTTTTAGAAAATAATCTCTCTTGCACTAAAGAAACATTTATTTGAAGTTTAACATATCTTTGGTTTCATTTCAGTTTATTTCCTTTTATTGAAATCAAGTAAATGTAATACTTTTGTTATAAAAACACTGACACATGAGTTGCACTTTTATAAAAGTCCTTCTGTCCATCTTCTCCACTATCCCTGTGTGTCTAAATATCTCAGAAAGTTATCTGGGCTGATGTTCACCTCATGAAACTAGAGGTTACTTTGGGTGGCTGGGATTTGAGAAGATAGATACCTTTTTTTAAATTTTTCAGTTAGCTGATTTCTTTGACACACACTCTCGCTCTTTTTTTTTTTTTTTTTTCTTTTGAGACAGAGTCTCACTCTGTCGCCCAGGCTGGAGTGCACTGGCATAATCTCGGCTCACTGCAACCTCCGCCTCCCGGGTTCAAGCAATTCTCCTGCCTCAGCCTCCCAAGTAGCTGGGATTATAGGCACCCATCAACATGCCCAGCTAATTTTTGTATTTTTAGTAGAGATGGGGCTTCACCATCTTGGCCAGGCTGGTCTTGAACTCCTGACCTCATGATCCACCCGCCTGGGCCTCACGAAGTGTTGGAATTACAGGCGTGAGCCACCGCACCCAGCCTCTTTTTTTTTTAAGAAACGGGCTTTCCCTCTATCACCCAGGCTGGAGTGCAGTGGTACCATCATAGCTCACTGCGGCCTCGAACTCTTGGGTTCAAGCAATCCTCAGCCTTCCTAGTAATTAAGACTACAGGTACACGCCACCAGGCCCAGCTAATTTTTAAATTTTTTGCAGAGATGCATGTCTCACTTTGTCGCCCAGGCTGGTATTGAACTCCTGGCATCCAGCAATCCTCCTTCCTTGTCCTCCCAAAGTGCTGTGATTACAGGCATGAGTCACCATTCCCAGCCTAATTTCTTTCTACCGAGCATACATCATCTTTGTCATTTTATGCATATACAGAACGATCTGTCTTAATTAAAAAACAAAATGAACTCGAAAAAAAAAAAAAAAAATGCCAAGATGTTAACAGTGATTAGCATTGGATCCATGGGATATGAATGTGAATTCTCTTCACACTTTCTTGTACTTTCGAGGAAAAAGAATTCCAATGTTGGTCAGGCGTGGTGGCTCATGCCTGTAATCCCAGCAACTCTGGAAGGCCAAGGCAGGCTGACCACTGAAGATCAGGAGTTCAAGACCACCATCCTGGCCAACATAGTGAGACTCCAACCCAATAAAATAAAATTTAATTTTTTTTTTAATTTAAATGTTGCTAGAGAACATGTAGAGGTGATTTTGAAAGTTTAAGTAACTAATAAGGTGCTATGAGAAGATACAAAACTAAAAAACCACACCACGTATATATGCAGAAAGAAGATGAGCTATGGATAAAGGGTTGCAGGTGATTATTTTTTCCTTCTTTCTTATCTAATTTTTCATTTCTGGAAGATGAGCATTTATTACTTTTGGTTTTTTTTTTTTTTTTAAAAAAAGACATTTTGGTTTTGCTTTTTAATAAAAGGGTCTTCTCAAGTGATGACTCCTGGCCCAAGAGGAACCTGAGTGGTTAGATAGAGCACCAGGTAATGCCTGTGATAGGAACAGAAACCCCAGAGGGAGAAGATGAGCGGGTGGTTTCCACCGTCTCTCAGCCCCCAGCTGTCCAGTGACTCATTCTCTCAGTGCAAAGGTGGAACATGGGGTCAAGAGTGCCCTAGGTCAGACACAGCCCTCAGAATGTGCCCACACCATCACAATAGAAGACTGCCCTGAGTCAGACACAGCCCTCAGAATGTGCCCATACCATCACAATAGGAGAAGACTGCCCTGAGTCAGACACAGCCCTCAGAATCTACCCACACCATCACAATGTGTATGCATTCAGGAGCACATTTGTTAAGTCAGAAACAAGATTAAGAAGAAAATGGCTCGATTCGTTATCAACAATATATGAGCACCAAGAAACACACCAATCGAAAGCCTGGCATGCCCAAGCTATGTTGCCCAAGATTACAGCCTTTATGTTCTTTTGATGGTTTAAAAAAAAAAAAAAAAAAAAAGATGGGAGGGCAAAGCAAAGGTTGAGAGGGAGGGGTGGAAAGGAGAGGGGAGGAGAAGAAGGGGAGAGGAAGGAAGAGGAGAGGAAGGGAGAGGAGGGAAGAGGAGGGAAGGGGAAGGAAGAGGAGAGGAAGGGAGAGGAGGGAAGGGGAAGGAAGGGGAGTGGAGGGGAGGGGAGTTAAGTTCCTGAAAGCAGATGAAGGAGTTATCCAAAGGGGTTACCTTCAAGCTTCACCGACATGCAGATACTCAGCATGCTTACACCTTAAGGTTTGGAACATTCCAACTGGAACAAAACTCACCAGTGGCTATGGCCCAGTAAACGTCTGATCCATTCAGTAACTCACCACATGCTATGGGAGAGTAAACCTGGGAGCCGGGAACTTGAAGCAGAATTCGAAATGGAGCGACCCGTGCGTTGGAATCCAACACTGCATCCAGAGCGCCGACCAGGCGACCTTCAAAAGAGAAGAGAAGAAAGTGCACCTGTGAGCACGGGGCTGGCCAGCTCCTCGTGTGCGAGGCATGTGGTCACTGTCCGGACTCCATGCTGGGGTGGCAGAGACAACTTCACGTCCAGTTCTTCGACTCGCCTCACAAAGCCTGAGCTCCATGGAGCCAAGGGCTCTGTCTGCATCTGCAGCAGGACCTGCCCCTGACAGGCACTCAGCACTCCTTTGCTCAATCAATGAAGAAGTGAACGAAGGGCCCCAAACCAGTCACCCAGCCTAGCTAAGGCGCTTTGACCCAGCACATAAATAAGCAGGGGCTCTGGACTCAGACTGCCTGATGCAAACCCTGGCTCCACCACTTTCAATCTGTGGGGCCTTAGCAAATCACTTAACTTGTCTGTGCCCTGGATTCCTTGTTGAAATAAAATAAGCACAGTCTACCTACTTCGTAAGGTAACTGGGATAATTAAATGAGTTAAAGTATCCAATAGTCAAAGTGCTTAAATTATTACAAGCCCATAAAAAGTACTCTATGTCACCCAGTATTATTATTTTATCATCATTATCCTCCTCTCCAATATGGCAAAATAATCCCTGCCTGCTCTAGGGTACTGTGGGATGTAAATAAGAAAACCGGTTGGGAATGGTGGCTCACACCTGTAATCCCAGCACTTTGGGAGGCCAAGGCAGGAGGATCACCTGAGGTCAGGAGTTCTAGACCAGCCTGGCCAACGTGGTGAAACCCTATCTCTACCAAAAATACAAAAAATTAGATGGGCGTGGTGGCGGGCACTTGTAATCCCAGCTACTAAGGAGGCTAAGGCAAGAGAATTGCTTGATCCCAGGAGGTAGAGGTTGCAGCAAGCTGAGATCACACCACTGCACTCCAGCCTGGGCAACAACAGCGAAACTCCAACTCAAAAAAAAAAGAAAAGAAAAGAAAACCTATCAAAGTCTTTTATAGACCATAAAGCATGAAATGTGAGTGCAGGATTAGCATTTTGCTGTAATGAGTGGCATCAGAAATCAATGTCAGGCAAAAAACAACAACAACAAAACAAGCAAAAAAGGCATCCCAAGCTGGGTGCAGTGGCTCATGCCTATACTCCCAGCACTTTGAGAGGCCGAGGCAGATGGATCACTTCAGCCCAGGAGCTTAAGACCAGCCTGGGCAATACAGTGAGATCTCATCTCTACAAAAAATTAAAGAACTAGCTGGGCATGGTGGCGAGTGTCCGTATTCCCAGCTACTCAGGAGGCTGAGGCGGGAGGATGGCTTTAGCTTAGGGAGTTCGAGGCTGCAGTGAGCAGTGATAATGCCAGTGCGCCCTACCCTGGGAGACAGAGCAGGATCTTGGTTTAAAAAAAAAAAAAAAAAAAAAGGCATCCTGATCCTCAATTGCCTGGGAATCTAGATGGCTAAGATGGTTGAGAAGATCAGGTCCTCAATTTACTTTACACATTACCCTTAACTAATTGGCCCTGAATAAGGGCCACAGCTGCATGAGCAATTACTATGTCTATTTTTATATAGTTTAACAACCTCAAGTGTAAAGAAAAACTGAATCACTGGGGTCAAGTTACTTACCTAACACCCCATCATATATTTAGTACAAACACAGCATCCTCCTACATAACCACAGCACAACCATCAAATTCAGAACATTAATATTGATATGGCCCCGCCATCTAATCATAAGACCCATTCACATATTGCCAAATGTCCCAATAACGTCCTTTTGCTACAATGGATTCAGTTCAGAATCACATTCAGTTGTCAAGTCTCTTTGGACTATGTGGGTCTGGAGAAGTCTTTCACTTGACTTTCACGACCTTGACACTTTTGAAGCTTTATAGGCCAGTTTTTCTTTTTTTGTTTTGAGAAGGAGTCTCACTCTGTCGCCCAGGCTGGAGTGCAGTGGCCGGATCTCAGCTCACTGCAAGCTCCGCCTCCCAGGTTCACGCCATTCTCCCGCCTCAGCCTCCCGAGTAGCTGGGACTACAGGCGCCTGCCACCTTGCCCGGCTAATTTTTTGTCTTTTTTAGTAGAGACGGGGTTTCACCGTATCAGCCAGGATGGTCTTGATCTCCTGACCTCGTGATCCACCCGCCTTGGCCTCCCAAAGTGCTGGGATTACAGGCTTGAGCCACCGCGCCCGGCCTATAGGCCAGTTTTTCTTGTAGCATGTCCCAAAGTCTGGGTTTATCTGAGGCCTGGTCATGATTAGATTCAGGTTATATATTTTCGGCAAGAATCATAGAAGTGATGCTGTGTTCTTCTTTTCACTACATCCTATCAGGTAGCAGATGACCTCTACTTGTCCCATTCTTGGTGATGTTCACTTTGATCACTTCACTCACATAGGGGCTGCCAGGCTTCTGCACTATAAAATTATTCCTTTTTCCTTTGTAATTAACGAGCATTCTGTGGAGTAGTAGTCTAAAGCCACGCAATTTCCTGTTCCTCATCAAATATTTCATTATTCACTTAATTATATCAGTATGGCCTCATGGTTTTCTTTTTTCAATGGGTTATAATCTATTACTATCATATATTCTGATGCTCTGAATGTCCCAGGTTTGGCCAGTGGGAACCCCCTTCAAGAAGGCTTTTGTGTCCTTTGGATATATCCCCATCGTTCTTCATATTTTCTGGAACAATAAAAAATTCCAGCTTCATCTTGTACTTTCACTACTCTCAGCCACCATTTATCCAAGAAACTCTGGTTTCTTTAGTGAAGAATGGGATTTAAAAGCCAGTATTATGTGGAAGCCAGGTGTGCTTATTGCTAATGGGGTGCCTCCAGGACCCCTCAGTGTACAGAGCCAGGAAATACACGTCTGTACATGTATATGTGTGTACAGTTGACCCCTGAACAACACGGGTTTGAACTGCATGAGTCCACTAATATGTGGAGTCTCTTCTGCCTCTGCCACCCTGAGCCAGCAAGGCCAACCCCCTCCTCCTCTTCAGACTACTCAACATAAAGATGATGAGGATGAAGACCTTTATGATGATCCCTTCCACTTACTGAAGAGTAAATATATTTTCTGTTCATTATGATTTTCTTAACCTTTTCTCTACTTTATTGTAAGAACACAGCATATAATACACATAGCACACAAAAATGTGTTAACCAACTGTTTTATCAGTGAGGCTTCTAGGTAACAGTAAGTTATTAGCAGTTACATTTTTAGGGATCAAAAGTTGTATGTGAGGACTTTTGACTGAGGCGGGCGGATTACCTGAGGGCAGGAGTTCAAGACCAGCTTGACCAACATAGTGAAACCCTGCCTCTACTAAAAATACAAAATCAGCCAGGTGTGGTGGCGGGGGCTACTCAGGAGGCTGAGACAGGAGAATCGCTTGAAACCAAGGTGCGGATGTTGCAGTGAGCTGAGATCACGCCACTGCTTTCCAGCCTGGGCAACAAGAGTGAAACTCTGTCTCAGAAAAAAAAAAAAAGAGAGAGAGAGAGACTTAGACTCCCAAACAATAGTGGGAGATTACAACACCCCACTGTCGGTATTAGACAGATCAACGAGACAGAAAATTAACAAGGATATTCAGGACTTGAACTCAGCTCTGAAACAAGCGAACCTAGTAGACGTCTCCAGAACTCTCTACCCCAAATCAACAGCGTATACACTCTTCTCAGTGGCACACGGCACTTATTCTAAAATCGACCACATAACTGGACGTAAAACACTCCTCAGCAAATACAAAAGAACTGAAATCATAACAAACAGTCTCTCAGGCCACAGTGCAATCAAACTAGAACTCAGGATTAAGAAATTCAATCAAGCCAGGTGCGGTGGCTCACGCCTGTAATCCCAGCACTTTGGGAGGCTGAAGCGGGCGGATCACGAGGTCAGGAGATTGATACCATCCTAGCTAACATGGTGAAACTCCGTCTCTACTAAAAATACAAAAAATTAGCCGGAAGTGGTAGCGGGCGCCTGTGGTCCCAGCTACTCGGGAGGCTGAGAGGCAGGAGAATGGCATGAACCCGGGAGGCGGAGCTTGCAGTGAGCTGAGATTGCACCACTGCACTCTAGCCTGGGCGACAGAGTGAGACTCTGCCTCAAATAATAATAATAATAATAATAATAATAATAATAATAATAATAATAAATTAAATAAATAAAAAATAAAAAATTAATCAAAACCATACAATTTCATGGAAATTGAACAACCTATTCCTGAAAGACTCCTGGGTAAATTATGAAACTACGGCAGAAATCAACAAGTTATTTGAAACCAATGAGAACAAAAAGACAACGTACCAGAATCTCTGGGACACAGCTAAAGCAGTGTTAAGAGGGAAATTTACAGCACTTAAACCCCACATCAGAAAGCTAGAAAGATCTCAAATCAACACCCTAACATCACAATTAAAAGAGCTAAAGAAGTAAGAGCAAACTAATCCAAAAGCTAGCAGAAGACAAGAAATAACTAAGATCAGAGAAGAATTAAAGGAGATAGACACACGAAAAACACTCCAAAAAAAAAAAAAAAAAAATCAATGAATCCAGGAGACGGTTTTTGAAAAAATTAACAAAATAAGTAGACTGCTAGCTAGACTAATAAAGAAGAGAGAGAAGAATCAAATAGACACAATAAAAAATGATAAAGGGGATATCACTACTGACATCACAAAAATACAAACTGCCATCAGAGAATATTATAAATAGTTCTACACAAATAAACTAGAAAATCTAGAAGAAATGGATAAATCCCTGGATGCATACACCCTACCAAGACTAAACCAGGAAGAAGTCGAATCCCTGAATAAACCAATAACAAGCTCTGAAATTGAGGCAGTAATTAATAGCCTACCAACCAAAAAATGCCCAGGACCAGATGGATTCACAGCTGAATTCTATCAGAAAAACAAAGAGTAGCTGGTACCATTCCTTCTGAAACTACTCCAAACAATTGAAAAGGAGGGACTCCTCCCTAACTCATTTTATGAAGCCAGCATCATACTGATACCAAAAGCGGG